AGCCCTGATTCTTTTCATCATATAATGATCCTTATCAATCAAAAACTGCATGCCAGATGTACTAATTGTTATGAGGGTTACTACTTCTAGACCTCTCAGCTGACAGAGCAGGGAGGTACACCTGTGTATACTAGCCCATATCTATGTTTACATATACACATACATATCTGTTTCTCTACCTATATTAACTGTAGACACATTTTAAAATAGGAGTTTATATTAAATCTTGTTTTACTACAACAACATAAAAGTCATTTTGGTCAGATAACTCTTTCTCCACTAGTCAGAACACTGGGTTTCACTATCTACAACACTAAAACATTATTTAGTTATTCAATTCTTACGTACACACAGAAAAAAAGACCACTGTTGCGGCTCAACAAGGTTAAGTCGCTGCTGGCAAATTTGGCATCTGATATCAGAATGCTGGTTCCAGTCCTGGATGCTTTGGTTCTGACCCAGTTCCCGGTAATATGCCTGGAAGGCAGCCGATGATGGCCCAAGCAATCCTCTGCCACCTACACAGGAGACCCACATGGAGTTCCTGTCTCCTGGCTTCAATTTGACATAGCCCTGGCTGCTGTGACCGTTTGGAAAGTGAACCAGTGGATGGAAGGTCTCTCTCTCTCTCTCTCTCTCCCCCTCTCTCTCTCCCTCTCTGCTGTTGCTCTGCCTTTCAAATAATAAATAAAAATTTTTTAAAGTTTATGAAAATGCATAGTATATAAAAATTACTTTCAGAATTGAAAATCCATCTCCCTGATGTCATAAATAGTTAAATATGCATATATACAAAATATAATCTATGTTACAATGTCAAGAAATGCTTTAATGAGTAACCTTGTATATAAAACCAACAGTTTTAATTGTTGACTTAAATTTTTAAAAAAGTCTGAGAAAATATATAGCCCTTTTATCTAGTATAAGCTACCTCTCCCCCAAAATCCAATTTTAGTAAAACATTCATGTTAATAGCATATAGTACATATATATTTTTTTCTGTGTTTTAGCCTCATAGTATTCAGTCAAGAGTGAACTTATATAGGTTAACTTTTTTCTCTTGCTCAATCTCTTCAGTGTTGTTATGCTATCAATGTAACATGGTTTGCCTTGTATTCCCACTGACTTTGTTACTTTATTTATTGAATAGTTTATCTTGCCAGTCTATTAAGCATTGTTATAACTGTCAGTTATATGATTAAAGTATACTCAAGGGAGTGTCACACTCTCCTCATTCCTTCTACCCTATTCCTGCTCCCTCTAAATTCTACCTTTCTTTCTCAGCCATCATTTTCAAGTAACCAAACTCTTTATTTTTTGGTTTGGCCTTCCTGTATTTCTTTTGCACAAACGAGCAGAAAATCTTCCTATATGCCCTTCTTTCTCACACAAAGACTATCATATTATGGATGTTCTTTGTCAGCTTGCTTTATCACTTTAATGTATATACTGAAATTCACACCATATTGGTTCACAGAGATCTTCTTCAGTCTGTTTTTTGTAGTGGAGCAGTATGCCATACTGTTAATGTGCCTTCATGTGTTCATCCACTCTCTTAGATATGAAAATTAAGGTTTTTTCTAATATTTTACAATTCCAAGGATTATTACAATGAATAAGCTTGGGTATGCAACCCACAGTTTTAACTGTTGACTTAAATAAAAAGAAAAACAAGGTATAAGATAATATGTGGCCCCTTTGCCTACCATAAAAACCTCTTCTCTTAACTCTGTTTTAAATGAAACAACCATGGTAACAATGTATTAAAACAGCAAAGTCAGAATTAAGCACTTGAACTCAGAATTGTGGAGTTCAAGGAACCAACAGACGCCTGCCCTTCCTCTCAGCTTTCCACAAATCACATTGTTCTCCTTAGCATAGTTGCTATCTTGTACAAAGTGGAAATGAACACAATGTTTCTTTTTTCTTATACTCAGGGTTATTTACAAGCCTTCAACATGTCACTGATGAGAAATAGCTTTTCAGTTCATTGAAAAATAGCATCACTAGGAACATTTCATAACTACAAAAGCTCAAGGAGTTAATGAGAAGAACATACTATCTATGAGCCTGCATTGTAAGAGATGCCCTATAGTTGAGAATCTAGTGCACAGAATTGTGTAAACAAGTAAAACTACATACATTAATATTTTATAGTCTACTATCATTCATTACATCAAGAAAAATTTTAGTGTTGTACTACTAAACTGACTTCATAACTTGTAATATTTATTCAGTCTTACAGTCTGGAAGATATTGGTTGATAAGTACACATGTTCTGAATTCAGACCAATGAGAGCTGGAATCTAGGTTGAACCTCTTGCCAACAATCTCTTCAGAAGAATTTCTTAGTCTTTGCAAGTTCACTTCCTTCACTGCAGAGCCTTGTTGCATTGACTAAGCAAGATTCCAGGTAGCACCTCGTACAGTAGCCAAAAGCTGAAAGGGATTATTAATAAGAGTAATAAAATGGGGTAATGCTATACTTAGGGATCCAAGTAGTCCACAGGCAGCCAATACTGAGTGCACCCTCTGTGTACAGAAAATTTAAATCAGTGGTTTAACTTTAGTGTCTCTTTTCTCTTAACCAGCACATTAGAGTGACCAGTGAGGTATGAATCTAAGAAGTCAAGATGGCATTGTTGCTGCCCCCATTCTCCTATTACATGGTCGTATCCAGCATGAGCTCCTCTTCTAAGGTCTCACAGACAAATCCAGAAATCTACAGGAACATTCCACAATAGGAAACTCATTGACCATGTTGGTCACCTGCAGTGAGAGCAGCAACAATTTTCAAACTTGGGAGGACATGTGAGGCATAAGGAACCTGTTAAATAGTATTTTTTTGGTATTATTCCTATTTCATTGTAGAAAAGTATCAAACAAATACCTGATTTAATAATGGTCAATTCTCAATGTAATCTTGAGTAGAAATAGTTTTATTCAACAGAAAATATGTTGCACCATAGGAGACAATCAGAGGTGAGTTACAAGGTGACATATTTTTGAGATTCTAAATCCCATTATGTCAGAGGCAGTGAAGTGTACACAGAATAAAGTGAGTCCTTTGACAGCAAGCTTCAGTGTATTGTACAGACTTCAGCCATTTACAAGCCTGGTTTCCGGTGTCATTAAAAATGAGTATAATTCCACCATTCTGGAATCAAATGTACACATAACCACGGTTTCCCTAGTCTGTTTGGGAGCCTTATCCATCCCCCACCCCTTTTTTATTTAATAAATACCAAAGGTCACATTTACTCTGTCCTAGCAGACAATAATTAAACTTAAAATGTTTACAACTTATGGCTTAAGAAACACTGCTGTTATTTCATTTTTTCTTAAAGAACATATATAATCTGAATGTTACCTAAAAGGCTTCTATCCAACGCCTTTAATGTCAGACAGTGTTACTTGATTTTTATATCAAAGTCAGCATTACCTCAAAGCAGATCATCATGAAATATTTCATAAATGTATCAAGGTTCTGTTTTGTTTTACTTCAGGAATGTTGAACTACTGTGTGGAGAAAATTGGGACAACGTAACTAAAAAAGGAATGTCCAATGCCATGTTACAACCAGCCACGGCCACAGAACAGAATCATGCCACCTGCAAGCAGTAGCCAAATTTCAGTAATTTTTAAAAGATAATTCCAGTCAGACTGTTTTCCAGAGATAATTGAGTCGTGTTTCTTTGTCGACTTAAACTCACAGTGCTTGTCCTTGGTTGGGTAACTATGTAAAAAGCAACAACAACAAAACCATTCTTTCTGACAGTTTGAAAGGAAATCTTCAAAGAACAATGACTTAGCATAGATAACCTCTCAAAGTTCTGTCTCTTGAGACTGAAACTTGAATTGATCTTTCAGTCCCTACATGTCATTTATTTTCTTTTTGATGCGACCCCTAATTTTCAGAAGATTGAAACCATATATATGGTGGGTGAAACTGGCCTTTCATCAAGTATTCTGTGACACTAGGATCTGGTTCTCTGTAACAGTGGGAACAGATACGCTCCAATCTACACTTACCACTTATTTTTCTTGCGTTCTCAATGCTTGACGTTCAGTTCTAACTAATACATTAGAACTGGATCCAAACCATGGGCCAAAAGTACTCAGCAAGAGTGCAGACATATACGTCAAAGTAAAGTGCACCTCCGCTTCCAGTAACTTTATGAACATCATTTGCGTGTTCTTTGAAATTGAATTCTTTTTCATCTCCATCTTCTGGGTATGCTTTGTACTCCCTTTCCTTCCCAAATAACCTGGATTCAAGGTCTCTCAACCCCTGGAGCAGTTGTCCAGAGGAAGAGAGGCAACAGCCCCGCCCCCAACCCTTGGGAGCCGAAAGGAAAAGAAATATCCTAAGGAATTGTTTTAAAACCCAGCGGAATTGGACAAAAATAAAACCATGGATACATAGGTTGATGTCCCAGTGGTCCAAAATGCAACCCAAAATGGGCAATAATTTGTTTGGCCTTAAACTAAACCAGTTTGATGAACTCAAATGCCCTCGGCTCAATAGGCAGGACTCTCCGAGGAGCCTGTGTTACTTCCCTCACTTAAGCGCAGATTTGTAATAAAAATCTTAATGCCAGCAACATGCTTTTTGGACATATAATAAGCTAACCACTTGGAGAATCAGGTTTGGGAGGTTAGAAAACTCCACAGTGAAAGATCAGTTTATAATTTACGAAGAAAATAGAAAGTTTTGTTTCTTGGAGTTGAAATTTGCCGAGCACGGCGGGAAATATGGCCAGTTTTTGGCACAAGGTGATGCGCTTTCCGCATTATTTGAGCTCTGCGTGAAGCCCGAGACTTCGGGGATCATTATCTGTGGAAAACCGAGCGATTCGGTGTGGAGAATTTTGATATTTTTGGGTTTTTTTGAGGTGTAACAAACACAACTCGGGATCCGAGAGGACACTCTGCGGCTGCCAGCGAGGCGGGCTGGACAGCGCACCAATCACGGCGCAGCTCCGCCCTATATAAACGCGCGGGCGCAGCGCCGCGGCCCGAGTCCCGGCCAGTGCCTCCGCTTCCGGCTCGAAGTGCTCTCCCCACGCCCGCCCTCAGTATGTCCGAGACTGCGCCCGCCGCGCCCGCCGCTCCGGCCCCCGCCGAGAAGACGCCCGTGAAGAAGAAGGCCCGCAAGTCGGCGGGCGCCGCCAAGCGCAAGGCGTCCGGGCCCCCGGTGTCCGAGCTGATCACCAAGGCCGTGGCCGCCTCCAAGGAGCGCAGCGGGGTGTCGCTGGCCGCGCTCAAGAAGGCGCTGGCGGCCGCCGGCTACGACGTGGAGAAGAACAACAGCCGCATCAAGCTGGGCCTCAAGAGCCTGGTGAGCAAGGGCACCCTGGTGCAGACCAAGGGCACCGGCGCCTCGGGCTCCTTCAAGCTCAACAAGAAGGCGGCGGCCGGCGAGGCCAAGCCCAAGCCCAAGAAGGCGGGCGCCGCCAAGCCCAAGAAGCCCGCCGGGGCGGCCAAGAAGCCCAAGAAGGCGACGGGCGCCGCCACCCCGAAGAAGGGCGCCAAGAAGACCCCGAAGAAGGCCAAGAAGCCGGCTGCAGCTGCAGGGGCCAAGAAAGCAAAGAGCCCGAAAAAGGCTAAGGCCGCCAAGCCCAAGAAGGCGCCCAAGAGCCCCGCCAAGGCCAAAGCTGTGAAGCCCAAGGCGGCCAAGCCTAAGGCTGCTAAGCCCAAAACAGCTAAGCCCAAGAAGGCGCCCGCCAAGAAGAAGTAAGTTCCTTTGGCCAACTGCTTAGCTGAACACAACCCAAAGGCTCTTTTCAGAGCCACCCATGGATCTCCGGGAAAGAGCTGTGCACGCTGGGGGGCGTGGCCAGGGCGCGGCGCCGGCGGGGGTGACTTGGGCGGGGGGCGGTGCTGCCGTGCGGGCCACTGGGGTCTGGTGCGTGCGGAGCGCGGCTGATGGGGTTGCGAGCTGCTGTCCTGGCACGGGTCTATTCAAAGGACCCTCGCTGAGGGGCGAGGTTTAGGGAGCTGAAAGCTCCGTTTCGGTGGCAAGTGGCGCAGGGCAAGCTTACACGGAAAATCAACCTGCACAGTACCCAATATTTCGCTTGATTGCTGCCCGCCCCATCAAACACGTAGAGCTGACTGAAGCTTAAGGCACTTACTCCCCCCTCAGCCACTAGAACTGCAAACCGGGTGTAGGAAGTCATAAAGGCTGGGACAGGGGTATTTATAGGAGCCGTGTGTAGTTTAGCCTGAGCTTTCTGATTGGGTTAAAGTAAAGCAGCAAGACAGCCAATGGGGAGAGCCGGCTCTGAAGTGCTGCTTGTATTCGTGTTTGTGACGACACAGTTAACATTGACCCAATCACAAGCGAAGCCTCCCTAGCCTTATTTGAATACCGCAGCTATAAGTGACTGTGGCTTCCTGGAGTTCGTTATTTTCGCAGGTGTTTGTGATTGCAGTGGTCATTAGTATTATCATGCCTGAGCCCGCGAAGTCGGCCCCGGTCCCGAAAAAGGGCTCCAAGAAGGCGGTGACCAAGGCGCAGAAGAAGGACGGCAAGAAGCGCAAGCGCAGCCGCAAGGAGAGCTACTCGGTCTACGTGTACAAGGTGCTCAAGCAGGTGCACCCCGACACCGGCATCTCGTCCAAGGCCATGGGCATCATGAACTCGTTCGTCAACGACATCTTCGAGCGCATCGCCGGCGAGGCCTCGCGCCTGGCGCACTACAACAAGCGCTCCACCATCACGTCGCGCGAGATCCAGACGGCCGTGCGCCTGCTGCTGCCTGGTGAGCTGGCCAAGCACGCCGTGTCCGAGGGCACCAAGGCCGTCACCAAGTACACCAGCTCCAAGTGAGCTTCCAAGTAAGCGTTTTACACCTTAACTCCAAAGGCTCTTTTCAGAGCCACGCATGCTTTCAATAAATGAGTTGTAATCCTCAATTTTATATTTCTCATACCAGGTTTAAATTCATGCTACCACTGATTAGTTTACGTCAATACTGTGTAAAAGATACATGTAAGTAAATAACAAAATACCAGACACTGAACGTTCCCTATCGCAAATTCTACCTAACCATTGTCTCAATACCACAGAACTGTGTATAGAAACGAGTAAGAACTGAAAGACTAAATTGACAGCTGTTTCCCGGTACAAGCTTCCCAAGTTGACCCTAATGCTGGTCTGCGACTCTGCTGTTTGCTCTGAGCACTGAAGAAAGTGCTCTCCCAAAGCCACCTCGTTTTGCTCAAATCCTCTCCGTTAAATTTTGGTCATTTGGGTATGTAATACTGAATGATTTCCAAAGACAATGTTTTTGCGCAGAAGTGCCAGCTAGATTTTCTGGTTTGACTGCTTTGTAATTGAGCCAACTTTTGAGACTGCTCAGGCAGGTTGGGCGAGAGAAATGGTGGATCTTACATTGTAGTTAAACGGCCCCCAGAGGAAAGTGAGCAATCTTTGAGAAGCCTTCAAAATTGCTTAATTACTGTACCTTTGTCAGAAGGCCTTATTTATAGCCTTTTGGCAACATCCAAAGGGGAGGCACCCAATAACCCATCCATTTTAAGGTGTTTGCCTGCAAATGGGCAAGTCTCATCTCCTCTGAGGCCCTTTCTCAATGTGGTTTGCACATTCCTGTCTGTGTGTCCTGAGTGCCTAGGTACAGAGGAAAACAAAGGATGATAAACCCCTTTGCCCCAAAGGATGATGGTATAGCTTTCACTGCTGGGAAATGGATGATTGAGGGGGAAATCCAGGAAAGGGGACTGGTGGGAGCTGGTGGGGAATGGCCTAGAGGAAGGGATGCTGAGCTTGGGGGTAGGGAATCCCACTGGTTGAAGGAGGAATGAATTTAGAAATCCTGGTATCCTCATCTCCACAAATGTAGATTCATGGATTACAAGGCTAGCTCTTCCATAAGGCAACATTGGTACCGGTACCTGGATGGACAAATAAAAGTCTTCATAATTATTGTAATTCTTAAAAGCACTAAAAAGTGGCTGAAAGTAAGGAACTGAGGCCCACAGACTTGCCTATGTGAAACCCTAGCACTACAGCTGGCTTTGACCTAAACGCGAGTTAAGGCTTTCCAGGTATTACATGGAGCCTGACCATGGTGTAGTGGCTGACAAATCTTGACCACTGAAACAGACACCAGGCCACAAGCAGGTCCTCAGGTAGAGTGAACCAGAAACATCCATGCACACACAGTCCCATGGTTGCTTGCAGAGATTCTGCCACTGAGATCTGGACTGTAAGCCAGTCTAAACTTAGTTATTTCCAGCATTCATACCACAAGAAATCTAAAATATCCAAGCTGAAAATTTAATTTAGCACTATTCCACATTGGTTATGTGTGCTTGAACACCTGGTAGAAGCAAATACAAATGGAGGAACAAGTTCCAGTTTAGGCCTCAGAAAATCTCACAGATAAGACATCAAAGAAAAACACATAAGCAGCTTCACAATTAAAATTAACCATACCATAAAATAAGGAAGAATAAACAAGAACAATGAGCAAATAGCAACAAAAGGAGTAAAAAGAAGAAATTAACAGATACAGACTTCCAATGACCTACTTCAACCTCTTAAAAACTTTTCAAAACATGTTGAGGGACTAAAAATACAAGGAATGACCACACAAGGTGTGAAGAAAGAACCAAATAGAAATTCTAGGAAACAAGTATTTATATAAAATGATAATGCAGAATTAAAAGTAAAAGCTTACTGGTTGGGTTTAGCAGCCAATTTGATCTCGGCAGAAGAAATTTAGTTGTGTAACTAGATATTAAGCAATTACCAAAATGCAGAAAAATAAATGTGAAAGTAGCTCTAAGAGATCTGGAATTCATAGTAAAGTAATCTGACATGGATGTAATAGTTTCAGGGCAAGCAGAGAGGATGATGCATATGTGAGATTTTAAAAGATCATGTCTGAAAATTTCCTAAAATTGGTGGATTTACTCATATACTTAAAAATAAGTTTAAAATGATACTGAAAGTTCCCCATATGACTCTGAATTAAGCTCTGTAAAATTATGTGACTTTATCGAGTTGTGCTTTCTGTTCCATGACAGATTGTGCCTGATTGATGCATTGTTTCAAAGTCTGAGTGTGGGAGGATAATTGGGCAATTGGTTATTTGTAGATATTTTTCTATTTATCTGCCTTCACCAGCTTTGATTCTAATAAGCAGTTGATCATCGGTCTTGATCTTCATTGCATATAATACTATTGTTAGCAAATAAAAAAGTTTGATATTACTTCCAGCAACTATTAGTTGCTTTTATCATCTTTTGTTAGCTACAATCAAATGACACATCCTATTAGACATGATAGCAGGCATCATTATCTTGTTCCTTTTTTTCATAGCAATGGCTTTGGTAGTTCATGATTTATAGTATTTGTGTGTGTGGGTTTTATTGTGTTGATATAATTTTCCTCTAACTCTTTTTGGAATGTGGTAAAATCATGTGCTTTTCTCCTTTTAACATGCTGCAATGAAGTGTAGACAGATTTCTTAATGTTGATTCATACTTACATCCCTAGGCCAAATCTTAGATGGTCATGTTGCATTATTATTTTATTTTTATGGCTAGAGAAATGTTAATTTTTTGCATACTTTTTTCTCCACTTCTAATTATATTTAAAAAAAATTTTAAGAGTTTCTGTTTTAGATTTACCTCTTTCTGATTTTTTTTTTTTTTAATTAATACTAAGTTCAGAAACTTTGGTGTGCTTCTCAATCTCTGTGTAGTCATCTATCACAAAACAGTCTGGACACAAAGCTTGTCAGGACTCCACATGTATTCTCATTTCTCATTGCGTTTGAAATGCGCTTATATTTGGCTCCTTGTGTCCGCCCCCTTGGCTGCTTTTAATGTGTATTCTTGTGCTTTAATAAAGTATAACCTGGAGTATAATAGATTTTTAGTTAATTCTATAAGTCAGTCTAGAAATTTTCACATCTGAAGCTGGTTTTGGAGAGCCCTGAACTCTGCAGTTGGCGTTAAATGTTAGAGCTCTTCTGTAACTTCACAGTATGTAACAATGACATTAATATGCTATGTTTTATTATTCAACAAACTAGGTAAATATTTTGCCTAATTTAATGCGTTTGGTGGTCTCCATATGAGCCAAACTCCACTGCCTGCAGATTTCCAAAAAGTATGAGAAACACTTGCATAGGCCTTAGTGAATGACAAAGAAAGATGGAAGCAATTAGGGATATCTCTTGACTAAGCATGTTTGAACCATTATCTTTTAATTCTAATAATGACTGAGGCATAGGTAGCAACACTGGAGCAGAGATTCCAGATAGTTTAATATATAAACACTTGTAAAAAAATAAAAAAACCTCTTCTTTGTTTAGAAAACAGTAATGCTGACGCAAAATGCCACCTAACACATCCTTTTTGTTTCTTTAATCAGGGGAGAGATACGAATGCAGAGAAGAAATGAATGCATAAAGTGACTGAAAATATCAATCTGTATATAGAAGTTATGAAGTATGAAAATTCTGATCTGCCTAAGAATGATTGACTAGTGTGTATATTTCACCCAAACTCAACCTGTCCTGCTTTGCTGCACTTTGATCCATCAAAAGAGCATAACCTGAGTGGAACATATTAAACAGTTTTAGCTTATTTGTTTTCTTGTCTAAGTTATAAAAATAGAATTTAATTCTGTTTCAGGCCTACTTATTTACCATAGACTACTTTTGCTAGGAAAAGTCTGAATTAGATGCTGGAGGTCTGTAAATGAAATATTATGATTAATAAAATCTGGAAAATTGGAATTCTGTATTTTTTTAAATCAGGTTTTTATTGCATTATTAAAATTTCACAAATTAGACCTACACTCTGGCTTCTTGTTTCAGTAGCTGGACAACTTACAGATCTTACTCATCAGCCCGTTGAACTGTTCCTTTTACAGAGACAGATACCAAAACTTTTCTGAAATCCTTTTTAACTGATGTTGCCTGTTGGATTGAAACAGCGGAATTTCAAACAAGCCAATGTCACTTCCTTCAAAGATTAACTCATCTTTCTGGGCTGGAGACACTAAACAAGCAACACTTGGTCTCAACCAGACCCTACAGATACACTTTCCACCCAAGGAAGTTTGTATTTCCACAAGAGATCCAGTCCCCTGGAGTTAAGCACGTTGCCGGGAAGTGAGGGGGCACAGACCGCACCTGGGAATGAATGCTAAGCCCAGAGTAACCCCCTTGGCTGCAGGCTGCACATCACTGCAGGCGGTGTGAACAGCTGCCCTTCCTTCCTTTGCCCCATTGGTCAGTCCCGATCCTCTTCTTTTTCTGAGACTGGGTTCTACAATGACATGAGTGAGGTTGTTCTGCAGGGTACCTCGAGGACCCTTGACAGTAATTGTCCTTGCAAACTGACATGGACATTTTCTTGCACGTTGACACAGTCTGCTTGCTGAGAATGGTCTTCAGCATTCTCATACTTCATACAGCAAGAAAAGAAAAAGACTATTCACTGGCATCTACCTGTTTCCATATCCGTCTTTATACCTACCTACCCACCAACATACATATCTACTTACCTGCTTTTGTGTCATCTTCCTCACATATTTTGGTTTTGGAAGAAAACAGAAACGTAGTTTGGCATAGCTGCCATTTGAGAAGTTACACCTTACATGTGAATTAAGGTGAATACAATATTTTGGAACAGTCGCAAACTTGAGTTTGCATCAAAATCACCTGACAGATTTTTTTAGAAACAGATTTTTGGGAGTTAACTGCATAGTTTCTGATCTGCTAAATCTGGAATAGTATCTGATAATTCGCATGTCTAAATTACCCAAGGGGATGCTGCTACTGCTTGCTGATCGGGGCACCATCGTTGAGGAATTTGATTTGAAACGGGAACTGATTTGAAACGATGTTACAAATAGTCACCCAAGCGCCCCAAATCACAAAGGTGAGAGGTCCTGAAAAGGCAGAGGGTGCTTTGTTCCGGGTGTGGCTACGAAGGAGCCAGAAACGAATCCCCCTCCTCCATGCCAGCTCTCCGTGGCCTCTGCGGCCACGCCCCTCCACACCTGCCACGCCCACTCCCCAAACCCCATCCCTCCACAGCCCCCACAAAAGGGCTCTCCTGCCACGCCCCCTCCGTCTGACGCCAGAGCCCATGTTCCGCCCGCGCCTTGCTCAGCCGCTCCGGCTCCCCATTGGGCAGCCCGTGAGATGACGTCATCGCGTCGCCCGCGCCCGGAAGTGGCGAGTGGCTGCCGCATTATGAGGTCTCTCTGTAGGCGGTCTCCGGGTGTTTGGAGCCTCTAAACAAGCGGCTCTGGTCATTTACAGTTGAAAGTCGATGCTCGAGACGTTTGAGGACCGAGAAGCGGGGAAACAGCCTTACCTGACCTCTTGACTTCTCGCTGTTTTTGAGTGAGGAAGCAAGAAGAAAAGTTCAGTTTCAGTCTCCCAGCGTCGCCTGTTTCTTGGGCATCTGCGAAAAAAAACCTTGCTGCTCATAGGTCATCTCGTGTGAGGATTCATGTATGTGAATGTGTATAATTTTTATTTCCTAGTTATATATATATATTTAAAGATTTTATTGAGGGACAGCGAGAAAGGTCTTCCATCTGGCTGGGTCACTAAGCAAATGGCCGCAACGGCCAGGGCTGCGCCAATCCGAAGCCAGGATCCAGGAGCTAATTCCAGGTCTCCCATGCGGGTGCAGGGGCTCAAGGACTTGGGCCATCTTCCACTGCCATCCCAGGCCATTAGCAGGAGGCTGGATGCAGCCTTTATGGGAACCGGCGCCCATATGGGATGCCGGCACTGCAGGAGGAGGCTTAGCCCTCTATGCCACAGGCCGGCCCCTCCTAGTTATATTTTAACATTTCATCTTCAGGTGCACACAGAATCCATATCCAGTGATCCGGGAGGCACAGTGCATAGGGCCCTCAGTTATTGTAGAAGCTCATAAAAATTGTAATTTCCTGTAAAAGGAGAAGAATAAAAAGAACCATATGGGTAGAAGAAAAAAATAGGTATTACTTTTTATGTAATGTAGTGTTGTTATTGATCTTATTTTAATAGAGGAAGGAACCCACAAAGGCAAAATGCCTAGAGGCCAAGAAAGACAATACCCCTGAAAATGAGTGGAGCCACCCCTTCAGAGTTATTTTTATTTACATTTTAAAACTAAACACCCAGAGCTTTTTAAATGTTAACTCATTTAATCCTCATAGCAGCTACGCCCTGTATCTCCGTTTTGCCCAGTGTCATACAGATGATAAACAGCAGAGGGCACCCTGACCCAAGCAGAATTAGCTCCGGGGTCCCTTCCATTAAGGGATGCACTGAAAGTGCTATCTCTTGGTAAGTCTTAGAAATTGATGTAGATAACCACAAATTAAAGCAGAAATAACCAAGAGCTTGCTTTTCACAAATCGGTGAGATTTCCACTGTTCTCTCCCTAGTAATTGCGCTGCTCTCTGCTGTTACACACACCCACTCAACCTCCATCTCCCGTTTTCAGGGATGTGTCTCTTAGGCTTCACCGCCCTGGTACCCTATATGCAGGCCGAGCCCCCATGCTCTGCATTGAAGGTATTCAGCAACGATAAATCAACCAGATTTCTTTAGCAAACAGTGGGAGTTGAACCTTGGGCCGGAAAATATTTTAACATACTCGTTCCCTTCACTCCCCAAGATACAGGGACTGGGTCCCAAAGACACGAAGCAACCAGTGACGAGCTCTCTGTAGCAATTAGTGTTGGTGGAAGAGGCTCTCAGGAAATAGCAAAGACGCCTGCTGCAAACTGCTGCCTGCACCTGGACCACTGCCACACTGGCTGTCGCGCGTGTGCATACGTCTCGATGTACTGTCAAGGCCCACCACTCTTTCTTTTTTTCTTTTAAGATTTTATTTACTTGAGACTTCAAGTTGCAGACAGAGAGAGAGAGAGAGAGAGAGAGAGAGAAAGGTCTTCCGTCCTGTGGTTCACTCCCCAAATGGCCACAATGGCTAGTCCCACAGGCAGAGGCAGAGGCTACCGCCCCACAGCGCTGGCCCCTCTTTTTTGTGCTAAATTTTATTGTATTCTTGAAATAACGTCTGTATAATATACTGTTACATATTTTTAGTACCATAGCTCTTGGATTTCCACATTCTTGCATTTTAAATGGCTTTTTTAAAAGGTACATGTTCACATAGTGAGATGGGATAGTTTTCTTTCTTTTCTGTTTTTTTAATTTTTTGTACTGTTCTCCAGTTAGCTATTAACATTATGCAGTTTTAAAATTGTTCAAGAGAGCCATTTTCTGTTGAAACAGTTTCTCTAAAACAGGGGTCATTAATTCTTAAAATTCACTAAAACTTGTAAAGTCCATCTGAGTTTGGCATCCTTTGGGTTAATGAGTATAAGAGATTTTTAATTGTCTATCCTAGTTCCTTAATCATATTTGTGTTCCATATGTCAATTTTCTTACATTTTCTTGAAAATTATAATTTTTTCTAAGTTTAATTTTTTTCTAAAAGTTATCTATAACATTCTCTGGTGATTTTTTTGTCTTCCTTTCCATAATTACTTTCTTTTCAATATCAGTATTGCTTATTTTTAAAAAGAGTTATTTATTTATTTATTTGAGACACAGAGAGAGAGAGAGAGGAGGAGAGTCAGAGAAGAGCGAGATCTTCCATCTCCTAGTTCACTCTGCAAATGCCTGCCACAGCAGTGCTGACCATGCCAAAGCTAGGAACCTATCAAGTCTCCTACATGTGTGACATGGACTCCAGCACTTGGACCATCATCCACTGCTTCCCAAGGTCCATTAGCAGGAAGCTGGATGTGGGTGTCACTGTGCCACAATGCCTGCCCAACATCAATGTTCCTGTAACATCCTCACTGCCGTGCACAAGCACACCCAATTTTTTTTCAAAGAACAAGTTTTTGATTTATGGATCATCTCCATGTTCAATTTTGTTCCTTTAAAATTTCTTTTCTTTCAGTTATTTCAACTTTCTTATTTTAGCTTCTTTTGTTGTATATCTATTTTATATATATTCATTGTTTATTGTCCCTTTATGTATGCATTTATATTATATATGTTCCTTAATATATGCATTTAATATTATATATGTATACATACATATATAAAGTGCCACTTCAGATACATCTTGCAATTTTCATATATATTATATTAAAAATGTTTCTTTCAAAATATTACATAATTTCCTATCCATTTTTCAATTTAATCCATAGTGTTTATGGATGTGATTTTTAGGTTCTAAGTATTTGGAGAGATTTTGTTGTTTTTACTATCTTCAAAAAAAATCACAATTTTTCTGTTGCTCTTCAATTAAAATATGATGAATGAGTGTAATATGTATGAAATTGATCCTTTGGTACATGTTGTAACACTTTCTGAAGCCTGGATTGATTTTCTGTAATTATCCAATGTGTGTTTTGAAAAAATTAGACGTTCTGTATGTTAAGTGAAGGAATCATGGATCACTTGTCTATTGTGTTATTCAAATAATCTGTAGCCATAAGCATCTTCCATTGTCTGTTATATGACTTCCTGAGAATAGTGTATTAAAGGGTTACCCTATAATTGTACATTTGAAATTCTCCTTCTAATTGTGCAGGTTATTGTCTCACACTGTCAAGGGTTCCATCATCTAGTGCATACCAGGCCCTGACTGTTACATCTTACTTTTGATGTTTCTTGTATCACTATGTTTATAGTTTTTTCATTTGCACATGTTGTTCTTTTGCATAGCTGCTTGTTTTGACATTTCCTGCTACTTGTTTATTATTCCACATCTCATTTATTTAAGCTTTAAGTAAAGAGCTCTTTGGTAGTCTCTGATAATTCAGTATCCAATATTCTTTGTCTGAGGGGGCAAGATGAGCAAGGCCCATATTTCTTGGGAACCCTGCCTCGTGTGCTGCTTGGTGACATTTATTACTATCTTATACTTGGACATCCCAAATCCCTGAGGGTGTGTCTGGCATGTAAGAGGTGCTCAGTCATTACATAATGAGTAATTAATGTAGATCTAGAGAATTCTGCTTCAAGTTGCTTCCTTTCAGAGAAATTTATGTTTGTCTTCACAATGCACTGGACAGAGGGGGCCACAGAGGGGGTGCCTGGGGGGCAGATACTGTGACCTGTGGCACTTGAGGCTCAGAACACTTTCATTACAAATCTCAGAATCTAGGTAAATCCATGCTTACATCCTTGGCGATAATTCCCTCTGCCCTCCCCTGCAGAGCCCAGTACAGACAGATAGGTTTTCTTCCCAGGAAACTGCTCAATTTTTTTTGTTTTGTTTTGTTTCCCCTCCAGTTTACACTTTCTCAGAAGACACTGGCTTTATGCTGGGTGTTTGTTCAATTTTTAGAGCCCAAAATTCTCTTCTCCAAAGCTCAAAATCCTGAGAACGGTATTTGGCTCAGGGAACTCTAAGCTGGAGAGTTTAGCACCTTAGTTTTGGCTCCTAGGTTCTCTTGACCCGAATGTTTCAGGAAATATCCCTTGGTTTTTTCTTAGCAGGGTAACAACATGCTGGTCCATGCGTTCCAGTTTCTCTAGTCCTCAAGCATTTCGCTTCAGAAGGACTTTCCAGAATAGCTTGTTTTCCACATTTCAATAGAAGTCCTTACAGTGTCATTCTCTTTCCTTAATACCTTTACCTTCAAATTCTATTGTATCTGATATTCACATTGCTATAGATGCATTTTCCTGGTAAACATTTCCCATGACTTTTTTCCCTTGTCATTATTCATTGTTACTTCCTATATTCATGCAAGATTTATTTTTAGACTCAAAAGAGGGAGCACTGGGGCTGGCGCTGTGGCTTAGCAAGTGAAGCTGCTCCACTTCCAATCCAGCTCTCTGCTGTGGCCTGGGAAAGCAGTAGCAGAGGCCCAAGTCCTTGGGCCCCTGCACTGGCATGGGAGCCTTGGAAGAAGCTCCTAGATCCTGGCTCCAGGCTTTGGATCAGCAAAGCTCCAGCGGTTGCCACCATGTGGGGAGTGAACCAGCAGATGGAAGACCTCTCTCTCTCTCTCTCTCTCTCTTTCTTTCTCTCTCTCTCTCTCTCTCTACCTCTTCTTATCTCTCTGTGTAACTCTGACTTTTAAATAAAAAAAGAAAAGAAAAGAACTATTAAGGCACATTTTTTGCATGCCTGATTTTTCTTTATTAAAACATAAAAAAGCATAAATAGGTAAAGTATTGAACATATTCCAGAACTGACATATGCCTTCTGAGAAAGGTGAAAAAACTTAAAAAACTTCCATCAGAATTACACAGCAAAAGGCCTTACAATACATTACATTTCAGTTCATATCCACGGATATTTTGGAATTGTATTTTATGTAAACCTGGGTGGGGGGACCCTGTTCTTGGATCTGGAGAGAATTTTTGTGGGGAAAAAGGTCTATCAGAGAAAGCTGCTTACTTATAAGCACATAAAAGTATTTAAAAAGATTCATTGAAAAATATAATTAAAAGATAAGTTTATGCTGGTGCAAAAATTTGAAATCCATTTTTTTTACTATCAATTTTATTAATCATTTTCCCTTAACTATATGATGACCTCTTATATGCCTGGGTTGCCTTTTTTTTTTTTTTACACCAAAATTAATTTTTTTTTTGACAGGCACAGTGGACAGTGAGAGAGACAGGTCTTCCTTTGCCATTGGTTCACCCTCCAATGGCTGCCATGGCTGGTGCACTGCACTGATCCGAAGGCAGGAGCCAGGTGCTTCTCCTGGTTTCCCATGGCGTGCAGGGCCCAAGCACTTGGGCCATCCTCCACTGCACTCCTGGGCCACAGCAGAGAGCTGGCCTGGAAGAGGGGCAACCGGGACAGAATCCGGCACCCCGACCGGGACTAGAACCCGGTGTGTCGGTGCCGCAGGCAGAGGATTAGCCTATTGAGCCGAGGCGCCAGCCTTAACTTATCTTTTTAATTCTATTTTCCATGATCTTCTTGGAGTAGACTCATAGTAGCCAATTTCATTTTTAAACTAACAATCTTGTGGTCTCCGTAATACCCTTCACCAGATTACTGCTGCCTCAGAAGACTTTCAAGCAGTTGGGATTCAGAGCTTTACCTGAACAAGTACCTTCCATGGTGTTCAGCGTATGTTGCTACACATAACATGTTTCACTAATTCCAGATTGCAGCAAAATAAGCACAATGTATTTAATACTTTACTTTCTTTCCATGAATTTCAGTCCCCGATTTTAACTGGTGATACTAACCTTGATCTGGGAACCAGCCATAATCGCAGGAACCCCCCTACCCTGTTCTGTTCCAAAATTGCTTCACTCAATTCACATTTGCTTCACCACAAATCTTCAGTGAGACTCATGGATGCTCCTGTTCATCCAGTGGGACAGGGTCTAACACAGTCCCTCCTAATTCCCACTTTTTTTTTTCCTTTTTTTAGAAAGCTTTTTTTTTAATAAATATAAATTTCATAGGTATAGCTTTTGGAATATAGCAGTTCTTCCCTCTCCATACCCTCCCTCCTACCCCACTCTCATCCCACCTCCTACCCCTCTCCCATCCCATTCTTCGTTAAGATTCATTTTTAATTGTCTTTTTAATTATCTTTGTATACAGATGACCAACCCTATACTAAGTAAAGATTTAAACAGTTTGCACCCACATAGACACACAAAGTATAAAGTACTGTTTGAAGACTAGTTTTACCTTTAGTTCTCATAGTAGAACTCATTAAGGACAGAGGTCCTACAGGGGGAGCAAGTGCACAGTGACTCCTGTTGTTGATTTAACAGTGGACACTCTTTATGATGTCAGTGATCACCTGAGGTCTTGTCATGAGCTGCCAAGGCTATGGAAGCCTTTTGAGTCCACAAACTCTGTCAGTACATTCCTTCATGAGTGATAAGCTGAACTGTATGTCCCCACTAATCAACAAGAATAAGATGCTCACTAACAAAACTGTAATTGTTCTCTTTCCCTCAGGCCCCTGCACTCTGCCCTATCTTCATCACGGCCCCTGGCAGGGTCCAGCTGAGCTGAGGCCAGTTTTCCCAAAACATACTCTCTGATCTCTTGCCATCCAGTCATGCCTCCTCCTCATCCCTTCTCCCCACACCCAACATCTAACCGTTTACACCCTTCCCTATTAAACAAAAATACTTTGGCCTAACCCTGGAGAAATGTGTGGATCTTACGCAACAATCATGTTCCTCAGGTTGTCACTCTTCAGTTGCTTTCTCTCATCAATGATAGTTTTGAATTAAATCCCTTACTGCCAAACCCGACTTTCTAATTTTTTTAATTTACTTGAGAGGCAAACAGACATAGACCAGGCTCCCACCTGTTGGCTTACTCTGCAAACGCTCCAAATGGCCGGAACTGGGTCCCACCAATGATGGGAGCCAGGGACTCTATGCAAGTCTCCATGTGGAAGGCAGATACCCAATTAATTGATCCATAACCATTGTCTCTTAGGCTGTGTGTCGTCAGGAGCTAGGATAAGTAATCAAACCCAGGCCCTCTGTCTGATGTGGGACACGGTGTTGTGGTGCCTGAGCTAGTGCAGAGGAGCACCCCACATTGATAGAATGTGGTGGTAGAGAGCCAGCTTGTGCTTAAAGCAACAGCGTTTATAAAGGCAAAAACCACAAGGAGGGGAGGGGGAACACGTGGTTGCTAGGGTCTAGCTGACCTAAAGCATATGAGAAACTATATCAGTTACAATCTTGAGAGCACCTATTACAGTCTTGACATTAGTCCAGGGTCCAACCTAAATCATATGTGGGACATAGACAAATGACAATCTTGACATTGATCCAGGTGCAGCCTATCTGTTTGAAGCTTGAGCAGTCATGCTAGGGGATTTCTATGTTTTGCCAGGCAGGATGAGGCATACTGTTATTATCTTAGTTTTAGACCATAGTTAGTTTCAGACCAGAGTCTCACAATGGGGGAAGGGGGTGCTTTCTCAAGTGCTCTAAAATGGAGTCCCTCTTGTCAGGGTGTCTTAAGCGGTATCAACCCACAACCAAATATCTGTATCCCTGGATTTCTTTTCTATTTGACACAACCTCTGGAAAACTGTGTCTCCCCTGTATCCTGTGTGTTTTACTGATATTAGGAGGTATGGAATGAACACTCTGGGACATTCCTCAGCGGTCTTTCGTGTTGTATAGTAACCAGTTTCATCTAGTCATGATTTGCAAATCTGCATCCATTGCTTTGTCTTGGAGAGCCACAATTTCAATTTTAGAAGCACAATAGTAGCTTCTAAAATTGGTTAAGCTTTGGAGAAATTGGTCAACTCTTACAGACAATGTTCTTGTTTTATTATTCATATTTGTCCTGCATTGGAAAGAAATCAGACTGAAGAGGCCTCATGTTCCCTTATAGGTATTGTGCCTTCTCACAGACTGACCATGTACATTTGTACAAATAAATGTATTTTTCAGAGCGAAATCTCACTGGAAAGCTGAAATCTGAGTCCAGGTGTAGAAAGCATCACACCTAAAATGAGTTCTTAGTGATTTGCCTCTCAATCAATGGTTTTTAATTTCACTCACAATGGAAATATATCAAATTCTCAACTATCAAATTGATAAGGAAATAGTAAAGGTAAAAAACTAACAAGTAAATAAAGGCAATGCTAATAAAAATAATAAAAAGAATGATCCTAGACAAAGAATTGAAAAGAGATATGACCTTTGTTTTATAATGCAATTCGCTCCTCTGCAGAAGGAGACCAAGGCAAATGTACCACCAGCTCCCTAGCACAGTTTCTCAACAATAACTGTGCATCCACATCACCTGGGGAATCTTGTTGGTCCAGACTCTGGGCTGGAGTATATGTTTCTCACCAGCTCCAGGACAACTTGCTGTTGGTGGTCCGGGCACCACAGTTTAAGTAGCATAGTCCTAGTTGAAAGGAAGCAATCAGATTAAAGTCATTGAAAAGCAAAGGGCAAGGGGCAATGAAGACCATTCCTCTAGGATTCAGGCCCAGCAAAGGAAAGGGGATGCAGGAAAGGAAAAGGTCTGAGTCGTGGCTGCACTGGTGATTTCAGCTTCCTGCTAATGTGCACCCTGTGGGAGAGCACTTGATCATTAAGTATTTGGGTGCCTACCATCTACATGGAGACCCGGGTTGAATTCCTGACTCTGGCCTGACCCAGCTCCAGCTGTTATAGGCATTTCAGGACTGAACCAGCAGCTATTTCTGTTTATCTATCTTTCAAATGAATAGTTTAAAAAAAAAAAAAACAAGTTTAAACCTAAAAAAATACAGCTCCAACATCAAAGACTGAATAAGAAATAGCAACAGATACTTAATCAGGAAGGTGAGGTAAAATTTTTCTATTGAATAACAATCCAACCTCTTATTTTAGGTACATATCTGAAAAGACAGGCTATTCATACTTCAGAAGGAAAATATTTGTAGAGGGAGGAAAATTTCTCCTCTACCCTTTTAGAGTTTCTATCTCAGCCTAAGAATTATTCTGACATCCATAGGAAAAAGTATATGCATTGTATTAAATTCTACAAGTGCATAAGCATAAGAGAACTCACAAGCACATGACGACCCAAAGCAGCAGTTAGAGCTGAACTCACAAGCACTGAGTTGGAGAAAGAGCACTAAACTATGAAAACGTGACAAGTGAGGCGCTTGGGTCAGGGCAGTTCCTGGTGGGAAAGTAACTGGGAAAATAACGGTTGATCTAAGGAGGTTTGTTCCCAAGACTTTTCCTGGCCTCGACTCCACATCTGTGGTGATAAGAATGTTACTTTCTTTCTAGTACAGGGAGGTCATGGTCCATGAAAAGGCTTTCTCTCTCCCTGTTCAGAAGAAAGGGGTGACCAAAACTCCTTTTTGCATTTTTTTAAAAATCCACTTTATTTAAAAATAAACCTCATGCTCAGCTGGCATATGTTAGCCTGGAATATTCTGCTAACCTTTGCATACTTACATGAAGGCACTGTGTGCCAGGTACTGCGCCATGTGTGAGACATACGTTGGTGAACACAATATGCAAAAACTCCAGTCCTCATAGAGCTGGTGTTTCTGCACCATGCTCCTTCACTTTGCTTCATTCCTTTGATCTAGATCATCAAACCCTAAACACATGAACACAATAGAAACCTTAATCACCAAAGCTAGGTCTGCCTTGACTGAATTATCAGAAACATAAGATTTATCATATCAGTGAAGGCGATTAAACTAATTTAATAGGATCCTCAGAACTCACTACCAAGCCCTAATTTCCATCAACAAAACTGATTTAATTTGTAGAAGGGAATTTTTTTTGCGGAGGTATATCAGCAATAGAGATTAAAATGACTTTAAAATAGAAAAATAATTGTGATAAAGATAATGAGTTAATTCACATGTTTAAAGAAAATTTCTCTGACATGCATATAGGAGGCCATTGGTGGGACAGGCTCTGCAGTGGGATCTTGGGACTCCAGCATCCCATGTCTTCTCTCATTCAACTACACTGGCTTCCCTGTTTTTATCCCGGCCCCTCTCACATACATGGGCTAATGTCTACCTTTGTATGTAACATTCCTGCTTTACTTTTTGTCATCATGCCTAAGATTTTTTTTTCTATTAAAATATTTACTTATTTGAAAAACAGAACAATAGAAAGAGGGAGAGCTGTGCCATCTGCTGGTTCACTCCCCAAGTGGCTACAACAGTTAGGTCTGACCGAAGCCAAAACTAGGAGCCAGGAACTCCATCCAGGTGGCAGGAGCTCAAGCACATGGGCCATCTTTCCCTGCCTTCCCAGGCCATTAGCAGGAAGCGAATGGAAGAAAAAGACAGTATACTGTCCCAGTGTCCAATTTATAGGACAATCTGTGTTTTCATTTTTAATAATAATAAAGGCTATCTAAGCTCTGGATTATGATTTCCATCCTATTATAACACGTCTGTGTCAGTTCCACTGAAATAGTCTCAGAAATCAAAAACTTGGTACTGGGGTTGGTGCTGTGGTGTAGTGGGTTAAGCCTGTGCCTATGAGGCCAGCATCCCATATGGGTGCCACTTTGAGACTCAGCTGTTCCACTTCTGACCCAGCTCCCAACTAGAGGCCTCAGAAAACAGTAGATGATGGCCCAAGTGCTTGGGTCCCTGCCACCCATGTGGGAGACCCAGATGAAGCTCCAGGGAACTGGCTTCAGCCTGGCCCAGACTTGGCTATTGCAACCATTTGGGGAGTGAACCAACAGATGGAAGGTCTCTGTCTCTCCCTCTCTTTCTGTAACTCTGCCTTTCAAATAAACAAATAAACATTTTTAAAAAGTTACCATAAATGCTACATTTATTACCCAACTTAAGTTTTATGTGTTCTATATTTTAAGGGTGATGGGACAGAACTGAATTTCAGTTTTGTCTCATTTTCTTTCTACACTTTCCTACTACATATCCTATATAATTAAACCATTTGCATTTCTCACAGTCTCTTTTAGACATTAAAAAAAAACTTTTTAAAGATTTATTTCATTTATTTGAATTGGAACAGCTAGAAATCAAATTGTCACCCACATGCCATGCTCATGGTATATACAGGTGACAGCTTAACCCACTGCACCATAACATGTCACCCTAAAGAAATACTTTAGGGGTCGGCACTGTGGCATAGCCAGTAAAGCCGCCGCCTGCAGTGCCGGCATCCCATATGGGCACCTGTTTGAGTCCCAACTGTTCCACTTCCGATCCAGCTCTCTGCTGTGGCCTGGGAAAGAAGAGCATGCCCCCGCACTTGCATGGGAGACCCCAAGGAAGCTCCTGACTCCTAACTTCAGAACAGCACAGCTCCAGCTGTTGTGGCCAATTGGGGAGTGAACTAGCAGATGGTTCTCTCTCTCTCTCTCTCTCTCTCTCTCTCACTCTCGCTCTCGCTCTGCCTCTCCTTCTCTCTCTGTGTAACACTGACTTTCAAGTAAATAAATAAATCTTTTTTAAAAAAAAGAAGTAATAATTTGTCTATCAGGTGTTTAAAATAAGAGTAACATAAGCATTTCTCTCTTTTTCTAAAACAATCCATCAGAGTAGCTCAGTTTTCTTGTGGTTAAGGGTCCAAATTCAAGCCAGACCCTGCATAAATTCAGCTACACTATTGACAAACAGTGGGATTTGGGACAATATGTCTGTCCTCTGGTGCTCTAATTTCCTTTTCTATAAAACAGAAAAATGGTAATATTCATCATAGATGCTTTTAAGAACCTATAAAAAGCACTATTATTTCTGAACATTGTACATTGACTAAATTGGGACTAAGAATAAAGACATTGAATAGGTTGTCAGGAGATTTTATGCTCACAACTGAAGCAAGAAAAACAAACGAGTCACTTGTTTCACAAAAATACAGATAAATTTAGTAGCGTACTTTTGTTAGATTAACCTGCCACATTGTGGAAACCTGCCTGGAAGGTTTAAGGCAGTGTCAGCGGCCTGGTGGGTGGAAGGGTAGGGATGAAGAGTTAAAAAAGAAAATTAAATCTGTGGAGACTGCAGAAAGGAAAGATGGGAATGGAAGAATTAGCTAAAAAGTCACATTCAGCCAAAGAAATTCCATTTTTTTTTATTTCTTTAATTTTCGCTAGGTAGGCTAAAGAACTATTTATTTCAGATCTTTGATATGTGGCTAAATTGATGCCATTTGCTCTTTTCCAAGTTACTTTGTTTTTTTCTATGTGGTTCACCCATGGTTTATTTTCACCCTGGATTTGAGCGCTTGGTGCACAATAGGAAAAACTGTGGTAGGAATTGTCTGGGTGAATACAGGTTGCCAATTCTCAATTTTTCCTATCTCCCACTGGTCTACAAACTAAATTCAAAGGCAAAAATCTTTTCCAGGAGATCATAAACGGGCTTTGTAATTCAGGGACATACCAGGCCAACAGCTTTGCTTCAAAACATGAGAGCAATTCTTATTTTTTTTTTAAGTTAATAAGCAAAGTAATCTAACTTTTTTTGAAGTAAAGAGAAATTGTTATATTACCTAGGTTAGAGAAGCTGGCCTCACGGTTGGAAAACTGCTCTCAGGATCTGACCAATGGGAGGGTAGAGCTCCGGTGGTTTATTTGCATTCCGTCATCAAACGCACCAACGAATCAGAACCGCAAACACTAAACCCTGATTTGCATAAAGTTGTCTATAAACAGCCAGGCTCCAGCTCTTCGCATTTCATTTTCTCCTTTTCTCCAGCGAAGAGAAGATAACATGCCTGACCCTGCGAAGTCGGCCCCGGCCCCGAAAAAGGGCTCCAAGAAGGCGGTGACCAAGGCGCAGAAGAAGGACGGCAAGAAGCGCAAGCGCAGCCGCAAGGAGAGCTACTCGGTCTACGTGTACAAGGTGCTCAAGCAGGTGCACCCCGACACTGGCATCTCGTCCAAGGCCATGGGCATCATGAACTCGTTCGTCAATGACATCTTCGAGCGCATCGCCGGCGAGGCCTCGCGCCTGGCGCACTACAACAAGCGCTCCACCATCACGTCGCGCGAGATCCAGACGGCCGTGCGCCTGCTGCTGCCCGGCGAGCTGGCCAAGCACGCCGTGTCCGAGGGCACCAAGGCCGTCACCAAGTACACCAGCTCCAAGTGAGCGCTCGGGTCGGCGCCGCAGCCCCTCACCCCAAAGGCTCTTTTCAGAGCCACCCACGCTTTCAGAAGGAGAGCTGCGCACTCCTCGTGCTGTTGCTGGAAATCTGCCGTTGGAGAGAGCACTAGTGGTTACTGGCTTCGGGCGGTGTAATTGCTGTATTTGGTTCCACGCACATTACCGGTAGACCTTAGGACTCTGGGAGCCAGTGTGAGGTTGCTTTCCAAGTGCCTTAACCCGACTGTAGGCAGTGTGTCCTTGCAGTTTTTGGAGTTGAATGAGTGCGTTATTGGCAGATACTGTGAACTTCGCCCGTGTAGGACACAGAGGTTTCAAAATCCGCTTTCTAAAAGCTTGGGTTTCTCTAGGACACCATTCTCCACCTCTGCTGTGTCTAATTAGTAGTTCTCCACCCACTCCAGTCCATTGTTTAAGTTTTCTGGAGTCCTTAAGGTTTTTCCAAGCTGATTTTGTTTGAGGCCACGGGCAATGTTCCACGACGTTAGCAATAGTGCTTTTTAGATTTGCTGAATCCTAAACCATCTCAAAGAGGCCTTTGTTAGGAGAAACTCCCCCAAGCCCTGCCTCCTTTCACAAACCAGCAGCACACCAGCCCTGGGCGGGAACTGACAGGATCAGGGTGGTTCCAGGGCCCTGCTGCTGGCTGCCAGAGACTGAACGGATAGGAGGGAAAGTTAGTGATGAAGGAATAAAGGAGCCTGACAACAAAGCAGCAGTGGATAAAAAATCCAATCAGAGAGCTCTTGAAAGGATTTCCCTCAGCATTTCTTCAAATTGATTGCATTTTCTCTCTCTTTTTTTTTTCAACTTAGAATCGAGTTCTCTTTTTCACTTTTTAAGAAATTTTAGTTAAGGTATACCAATTTCATGTATACAGATTTAGGAACATAGTGATTCTTCCCACCCAACCCTACCCCCACACACATTCTCACCCTTCATCCTCCCCACTCTCCTATTCCCACTCTTCATTTTTACAAAGATCTATTTTCAGTTTTCTTTATATTCATAAGATTAATCCTACAGTAAGCAAAGAATTCAATAAATAATATGAAGGGGAAAAAGAAACACTGTTCCTCAACAGTAGAGACAGGGCTGTAAACAATCACCAAATCTCAAAATTCAATAAACTCCTATACGTTACATTTTAGATACTCTATGGTATTTGTCTTTTGGGGGCTGGCTAGTTTCACTAAGTATAATGGTTTGTATCCATTTTGTTGCAAAAGACAGGATGTGATTTTTTTTAACCACTGAGTAGTATTCCATAGTGTATATATACCATAATTTCTTTATCCATTCATCAGTTGATGGACATCTGGGTTGATTCCATCTCTTGGCTTTGTGAATTGAGCTGCAAATGGCAGGCCTTAAGATGCTGCAGTGAGCAAGAAAGAGTTGATACCCTGGTGAGAGAATGGAAACAATTTGCTCAGGAAGATCAATAGGAAATTCTGACTGCTGTGAAGAAATAAAACCAAGTGTTGTGATAGTGAGTAGGTGATGCTTTAGATGAAAGAGCCACTAAACTATTGGTTCCACAAAACTAAGCAGAAAGGAATGTTTGCTAAGATAAATAAATAAAATAAACCCCGTATTGTGGGAGATTAGTGGACAAAGGTAAAGGGTTAATCATTGGGACTGGAGGTTAAATAGATGCTTGAAGATGTTGGGCACCATACGAGAAAAGTTTTGCACTTTGGGTGCAATGCGGAGAATGGATTTTACGGGGTTAAAAATAGAAGGCAGTAGCGAACGTTTAGTGTAGTCATTGAGATGCCTATGTGTGAGGTGGGTATTGTGGTGCAGCAGGTTAAGTCACCCTTGGGAATGTCCACATCCCTCACCAGAATGCCTGGAGTCCAGTCCTGTCCCTGATTCTGATCCAGCTTCCTGCTAAAGCAGCTGGAATGGAGCAGAGGATGGCCAAGTAATTGGGTCCCTGCCGCTCAGGTGGGAAAACTGGAGTTCCTGGCTCCTGGCTCCAGGCTGACCCAGCTTTGGCTGTTGTGGAAATCGTGGAGTGAACTAGCAAAGATCTGTCCCACTATCTGCCTTCAAATAAACAAATAAAACTTAGAAAAACATAAATAAAAAAATTTTAAAGTTCTTGCATCACATTTCAGATTTGATTCCCTGCTCCCACTCGTTCGCGTTTCCGCCTGTGTAGACCCTGGGAGGAAGTGCTGATGGATCAGGATAATTGGGTTCCTGCCACCCACATGGGAGACCAAGACTCTGCTCTAGGCTACCGCTTTATCCTCAGCCTGGCTCCAGCAGCTGCGGGTATTTGGGATTAAACCAGTAGTTAAGAGCTCTCTCTCCTTCTGTTTGTCTCTCAGCCTTTCAAAATAAACGATTTTTTTAAAGTAGAGGAGAAGCAAGGGAGAAGATTTAAAGTTTATTACAATAACCCTGATGAGATTATTAAAGTTAGATTTTGGGGCAGAAAACCAAAATAACTTGTTGCTGACCTGGGGTAAAGGGGCAAAGGAAAAACGGAGCTGACGTTGACAGCCCCTTACATGCTTCGCAGTCTATGCCGAGGTCCTTATGAAGGTTAATGCACTCCATCCTCTCAACATGTCATTGTTGGGATCAACTATTCTTTCCCTTAAATGGACTAGAATGTGAGTGAGGTGTGGAGCTGGGGCTGGTTCCAAGGCAGTATTCTGCTAGAGATTATATGCTCATTCACTACCCTACAATGCTGTGTGTTTCCCCGACTGATTCTCAATAACTGTCAGAAAGGGTGAAATATGGGAGTCTGAGGTGTGACAATTTTTAAAATCCCTTAAGCATTCCATTGGAGATATTAAGTGGACAGTTATATATAAGAGTCTGGAATTCAGAAATGACATCTGGACTGGACACAGACATAACAAAAAATTTTTCAATAGAAATTTTAATGTTACCAGCGTAGAATAGAATTGAATTTTACCCTGAAAGCACTTCAAACTTTATAGGAGATAGGAAAAAAACAAACAAACAAACAAACAAACAAAAAAAACAATCCTAAGTCATGATGAACAAACCTAGAAGAAAACCGGAGCAGAAATCTAGAGATAAAGTTGTCTCAAGAAAGGAGATGTGGCAGGTGGGTGTGAATTACTGAACAATGTTAAGTTTTGGGCACAGTAAATGGAAATCCTTGGTCCTGGCAGGAAACCCAGACACCTGCCAGGACAGCTTCCAGACTCCTTCTTCCCTGGGAGAGGCCTCATTCAGAGCTGAGCCCCAGCAGTCCCCACCATTTGTTGTTCTGTACCTTGGGCAATCCTAGCTGACTGATACAGGCATCTGCCAATACCCTAGAAATTTCACTCTCCTGGAAATTGAGAAACACGAATGAGGAGAAGTTCAGGCTTGAATGTTGACCAATGCAGTATGCCTGGTCAACAAACTTGCCTTTCAAAATGGTATTTAAATATATGTATTTGTATTTAAAAGATTTATTTATTTTTGAAAGGTGGTAATGGAGGTGGGGGAGGGGAGGGTATTGATCTTCCACCCCTGGTTCACTTCCTAAATCACTACAATCACCAGGGCTGGGCCAGGCCGCAGTCAGGAGCCAGGAGCTCCATCCAGATCTCCCACATAGGTGGTAGTGGCCCAAGTACCTGGGTCATCTTATGCTGCTTTCTCAGGCATATTGGGAGGCAGCTGAAGCAGAAGTGGAGCAGCCAGGACTTTAATCGCCTCTTGCATGGGATGCCAGCATTGTAGGTGGCAGCTTGGCCTGCTGCACCATAATGTTGACTCTAAATATATATTTTTTAATGGATTCATTTCTACTGATTTGAAAAGGAGAGATAAAGTGGCAGGGAGAAATTTTCCATCTTCTGATTCACTCCCCACATGCTCAGAACAAGAGCTGGGCCACGTGGATGCCATACGGATGGCAGGGGGGACCCAAATACTGAACCACCCACATTGCCTCCCAGGATGTGAATTAGAAGAGAGTAAAATCCCAAGTAGCGCTGGGACTGAAGGGCATTTTTGAATTGAGAAGTGGGCTTCTCAAGTTGTGTCTGAATGACAGTACATCTGCCCCCTAAAAAGCTTTTTTAAAAGATTTATTTATTAACTTATTTGAAAGGCAAAGAGAGAGAGAGAGAGAAGGAGAGTGAGAGTTATCCTCCGTGTGGGGCTCCATGGGATGCGCAGCCATGGAGCCCCCACGTCAAGGTCGGTCTGATAGCTGTTGCTGTGTCTTTATCACAAGGCAAATGTTGCTAGTTTCAGTTAGGGCAATGCTTTCCCATGGTCGGGACGTTCCAGAGGAGTTGAGAATGTTGTAAACAACAAGATGGCGCCAAGCACCGCGCAGTGAGCCTGCCTGCTGCGTGACACCTCATCTGATTGGCCTGAGGACGCATGCACACTGCGTGAACAGACGATGGATTGGAGTGTTCCGTGCATGGACTTGAGCCCGCTTGCAATTGGCCAGATTTTGTATATAAGCTATGTGCTGAGGAAGGAGGGGGCTTTCCTGTCCACTCTCCTCCTTTCATTCTTTCACTGTGCCTGTTATTTTCCCATTAAAAGTCTGCTGAAGACCGATAAGCTGCGAACAGTGTCGTTCCTTTGCGGGCAAGGGAGCGGCAAGTGGTGCCGTGACTCGGATCCGGACCACTTTTTCCACGCAGGAATAGGTAAGGAACAAAAGGTAAGCGTGCGAGTGCACGGAAATCCAGCTGGGGAAAGAATAGAAACCGCGGTTCCGTCAAGGAAAGACGGGGAAATTAAGCGCCAGTAAAAAGGGTAAAGGAATCCCTTAAAAGGCTGGAGTACAAAGTGTTAAGAAACGCCAGGAAATAGGCGGAAACTTCCTTTTTACCTCGAAATGGACAATACTCAGAAACTTCCTTTTTACCTCCAAATGGACTATTCTCCGTCCACCACTAGGTTGCACATGCTGTTGAGCTGCTTGTTAAAAGCGGCGGGGACGCCCGTTAAGGCGGCCACAGTGGGTGCATTCACTAGGGCTGTTGCCAAGACGTCACCACAGTTTGTGGAAGGTGGCGA